CCTGGGTGACAAGAGTGAGAATCCGTATCAGAAAAAAAAAAAAAAAAAACACTTCTATTTGGGGGACCAAAAACAAAATGGAAAATGGGGGGAAAGGGATTTAAGGAAATTGAAAGTCAACAGGCTAATAATGCCAATAAACAATGATGGAGCAAAGAAACTGTGGTTGGCCAAATAACAGCATGTGTTTTTAATATTTTTGAAATTTAGTCAAAGTTTTCCAGCACACTGAGACACTTCTACTATCAAGACTGTAATCAGTGGCTGAGTACACTGGCTTATGCCTATAATCCCAGCACTTTGGGATGCCAAGGCATGAGGATCAGCTGAGCCCAGTCTTGTCAAGCCTAAAATAGTATAAAAATAAAATTAAAAATAAGCCAGGCATGGTGGTGTGTACATCTGTGAGCCAGATTCCCCTGCTGCACTCTAATGGGTGACAGAGCAAGACCCTGTCTCAACAACAAATAAATCTATAATAAAGAATAAATCATATCTAGGTAAGTGGCATATTAGGTGTTCAATAAACATACGTTATTCCCTCCCTATCTCCATAGACTCTTATCAATTTTATTCTTATTTTATGTTTTTTTGAGATGGAGTCTCACTCTGACTCTATGTGGCTGGAGTGCAGTGGCGTGATCTCAGCTTGCTGCAAGCTCCACCTCCTGGGTTCACGCCATTCTCCTGCCTCAGTCTCCCGAGTAGCTGGGATCACAGGCGCCCGCTGCCACTACGCCTGGCTAATTTTTTTGTATTTTTTTTTTTTTAGGCAGAGACGGGGTTTCACCACGTTAGCCAGGATGGTCTGAATCTCCTGACCTTGTGATACACCCACCTCAGCCTCCCAAAGTGCTGGGATTACAGGCATGAGCCACCATGTCTTTCGGCCGAATCAATTTTTAAAAGAGAAGTTTTGATTAGAATCTTTTAAAAATATCAATACTTTCTTTCCAAAAAGGAGGATTTAAATGTAACAATTTCTCTGAGTATTTTATTATTTTCATTGTTGCTTAATATTACTCATAATAACGAAAATGTATTTGCTCTCTTTCAAACATAGTTTTAATTAGTTGCACAGTATGCCACCTTATAGCCTGACAATTTCAAATTTCTATCTAAGAAAGCTAAGTTTGATACTATCATCTCAAGTATATTATAATCTCTGTCTCTAAATCTATCTGTAACCCTTAGTGAATCTCACTATGTCCTCCTTCCCTTTTAAAAATGCAGTGACAGGCTGTGCGGTGGCTCTTCCTTGTAATCCTGGCACTTTGGGAGGCTCAGGTAAGATTGCTGGAGCTCAGGAGTTCAAGATCAGACTGGGCAACATGGCTAAACCCCGTCTGTGCAAAAATACAAATTTTAGCCCAGCATGGGTGCCATATGCCTGTAACCCAGCTCTCAGGAGGCTGAGGTGTGAGGATCCCTTCAGCCCCGGAGGTCAAGGCTGCAGTATGCCACTATCCTGCCATTGCACTCCAGTCTGGGTAACAGACTGAGACCCTGTCTAAAAAAGGCCGGGTGTGGCGGCTCACACCTGTAATCCCAGCACTTTGGGAGGCCAAGGTGGGTGGATCACCTGAGATAAGGACCATGACTGGCCTGGCCAACATGGTAAACCCTGTAAAAAATTGCTGGGTGTGGTGGTGATATCCGTAATCCCAGCTACTCAGAAGATGAAACAGGAGAATCACTTGAACCTGGGAGGCAGATATTGCAGGCAGAGGAGACTCTGTCTCAAAAAAAAAAAAAAAAGAAAAAAAAAAAAAAGAAAGAAAAAGAAAAGAGAAAATCAGTGATAGGTGAGGTAGCTCCAGGCCTGTAATCCTAGCACTTTGGAGGCAGAGGTGGAGGATCACTTGAACTCAGGAGTTCAAGACCAGTCCAGGCAACATAGTGAGTCTTCTTCTCTACTGAAAATTATTTTTAATTACGCCAGAATGCCGTGTACCTCTGGTTTCAGCTTATTTGGCAGGCTGAGGTGGTAGGAGAATCACTTGAGCACAGTGAGATCAAGGCTGAAATGAGCCGAGATCGCACCACTGCACTCCAGCCTGGGAGACAGAGTGAGACCCTACCTCAAAAATAAAAATAAATAAATAAATAAAAATTCAGCGATGGAGTTGATGGATTCAAGGCTGAGAACCCCAATGAACCCATTTGGAAAAAAACTCAAACCGTGTTCTTCCCTCTGCTTCACACCAAAACCACAACAATCAACCCAGAAGACTTCTGTGGCCTCAAAATGTAAGATTTCTCCCCATCAACAGCAAGGAATCAGTTCTGCAGCAGACACCAGCTGGGTGTCCACCACCCGATTCTAACACTATACACTGCTGACATAGTGTCACCCCACAGGCTGGGAAGCTCTCAGCCCCCAAAACTGCTCCTTTTCAGACACCAGTCAAGCAAGTCCCAGCCTCTAGAACTTGATCGACAGGGTTCAATTCGGGGTTCCTATGACCTCTCTTTGGTATTAATTTGCTAGAATAAAATGGCTACAGACCCTCAGGAAACACATTTACTGGCTGATTATAAGGATATTCCAAAGGATACAGATGAAGAGATGCCTACGGTGACGCATGTGAAAGGCACAGACCCTCCAGTCTCCCTTTGGGTACGTTTTCTCCAGGAACCTCCGTGTGTTCAAGCTTCTGGAAGCTCTCCAAATACACTCCTCTTTTGGGTTTGTAAGGAGGCTCTATTACACAGGCATGATTGATTAAACCATTGGCCACTTGCCATCAACTTAATCCTCAGTTCCCTCCACTCCCAGGTGGAGGGTAGGGGCTGGGAAAGTCCCAACCTCTAATCCTGCCTTGGTCTTTCTGATGACCAGCCACCATCCTGAAGCCACGGTCAATTGCTGACATAAAACCCAAAGGCTGGGTGGTGGCTCACGCCTGTAATCCCAGCACTTTGGGAGGCCAAGGCAGGCAGATCACCTGAGGTTAGGAGTTCGAGACCAGACTGGCCAACATGATTGAAACGCTGTCTCTACTGGAAAACAAATACAAAAATTAGCCAGCGTGGTGCATTCCTGTAGTCCCAGCTACTCGGGAGGCTGAGGCAGAAGAACTGCTTGAACCCGGGAAGGCAGGAGGTTGCAGTGAGTGCAGATCGCGCCACTGCACTACAGCCTGGGTGATGAGCAGACTTCATCAAAGAAAAGAAAAGAAAAGAAAAAAAAAAAGCCAGTACTTAGGAGATTCCAAGGATTTTAGGAGTTGTATGCGAGAAATAGGACAAAGACCAAATCTGTATTTGAGAAAATCACAGAACCCTATGAGTATTTAATTCACTGTGACATGGAAACTGGCTGAAGTGCATTTACCACAGATGACTGGGTAAACCTGGTCTCTACTGGTACAAATTATTGATCAAGCCCCCAACTTTCATTCCTACCTCTAAAATACAGCAAAGCGAAAGATCTTATTACCTATTTGGACTGAGATTAACACCATCCCATAAACTGCATGGCTTAACTAAAGGTTTTGTAAAGGTATTGTCACAATGAATATTGCACTAATTTCCAGTAATTTTGAGTTTTATTAGTAAAGCTCTTGCCTTCTACTGCCAAGAAATTATGGAATATTGGACACAAAGTGATGAGGCTGGATGGACGCTATGCAGTATAAGCTCATCTTGCGAGGACTGAGAGGTTGCAACCCAGGAACAAATCATTTTTTATGAACCAAGGAGGTGCTGATTTGCCTTGACATTATCTTAGCCAGATCAAACAGGCTAGTGAAATGTCAGTAAGCCCACCAGGAATGGTGAAATAGTCCAGATGCCCAGGACCAATCAGGGGCTGAAGTGAAAGTTTGGCCCAGGACCAATCAGGGGCTGAAGTGAAAGCTTGGCTCGGGACCAATCAGGGACTGAAGTTATGATTCAAAGAGGCTGGGCTCACAGTCTAAAGCATATCCAAAAAAGGAAAGTGGCCGCCGGAACCTGTTAGTCCAAGCTGCACCATTTTGTAAGCCCCCACCATTTCACAGACCCTGGTCAGAGGGAAACATTCCATTGTGGTTTGGGCTGTGAAAAACATCCTTCCCAACCGCCTGACTTCCTTATCACATCCTGCTGGGCAAAGGCCCAAGAAACATCCTTATAAACATTCTCCCAGGCAACAAGCCATACCGCCCAGACCCCTCCTGCTCAGGCCTGTAGTTACCCCAGCCAGTGAGCGGCAGTGGGCTCTGGGATTTAGTTGGTCCCCGCCATAGAGCCGCCAACTCTCTCTTTAACGCTCACCTTCCCTTCAAAATCTAACAGCCCACCGTGTACATGCCCACAAAAGAAGCGACTATTTCCTGGAAGCCCGCTGGTCACACAAAGGACAAAGGCGTTTCTATGTTGGGCCTCGGTCCCTTATCAGTGCAGCTGAGGAATGTCTTTAGAACAACCCCCTGTGCGAGTTTTCCTTATCTGTGCCTGCAGCCTGATTTTTCTGGCTGTTTCTCTGTTTAATGGAGTTTTATCAAGGACCCACCCCTAACTGCCTAACGGGTTTTTTTTTTCTCAAGGGGACACACAAAGCCCCAATCGCACACACACCTCCCCATATCCACTTCCCCACTGCCTCACAGCCAATCACACTTTCCTCTCTCACACACACCAAGGGACTTCACACACACCAAGGGGCCTCTCACACACACCAAGGGGCCACACAAGTTGCACCTGCACAGCCACAGACCTACAACTCACGCACACACGGTACAGCACACACAGGTAAAGTCACCCACCCACCCCGGGACACGCAGTCCAACCACACAGTCACCGGTTCTCCACATCCGCACGCACCACGAGGCTCGTCCGGGACACACATCCACTCCGGGCGCGCACAGTCACAAGCGCCCACCAGGTCACCCAGAGTCAGCACCACACAGCCACAGTCACAGACGACGAAGACCCGCGGCAACCATGGCGATCACACACGCAAAGTCCTCTCCTCAGCCCTCCACACACAAAATGACCGGAGCCGGATTCCTCACCCTCAGCTTTCCGCGGCAGCTAATTCGGCACAGCAAACGGTCCCGCCACCTGGCTAAGAGGAAGCCGAAATCTCGCGAGACGTGGTGTCGACCTGCGGGATCCTCTGGGAAATGTAGTCCAGAGCCCGACTCCGGGCTTCCCTACGCCTCTCATCGCCAAGCCGGGCTTGTTTCCATTTACCGCTCCTCTGCACCGAGGATCGCAGAGCCCTCATGCCGAGCGACTCGCTATGGGGCTGGCTCGCCCGCTGGAGTGGCCAGGCCTGATTATCCCTGGCAGCTCTGTTATCTGGCGTACGACACAGGAAAACGTGCTTCCGGTTCTCGGCGGAGGTAGCTGCAAGCGGTAGAACCGATGGGAAATGTAGTCCAGGGCAGAGACACGGTCAACCCAGCCACGATGCGAGCCACAGCATTCTTCGCTCCAAGCCTGGTCCTGGCTGTTAGTTTGGAACTCACACACCCAGATGCTAACTCGCCCTCAGAATGCAGAGGGGATGAAACACTGACTGGACAGTTCAATCTGTATATGGGTGAGTCCAGGGCTTAGTCTGCATTGCGCTGAAAATGAAGGTGAAGGTGAAGGTGGAGATGGGACCTGATAGTCTCGTCCCGGGTTGAAGAAGCGGAAGGAAAGGAATCAAAATCGTGGATGGGATGAGATTGTGCGCGGATGCTCTCTGGGAGCGGTTCGTGGGCGACGAGGGCCCGAAGATGCTGCCTTGTGATCGCAGGTGTGAGTGGAAGCTGTGTGAGTGTCAATGTGGGTTGACTGTTTGGGAGACCAGCATTGTATCTTTGTATCAGGTAGTCACCTTGGAGCCAGGTATTTGTAAATTTTTTTTTTTTTTTTTTTTTTTTTTTTTTTTTTTTTTTTTTTTTTTTGTTGAGACAGAGTCTCGCTTTGTCACCCAGACTGGAGTGCAGTGGCCGGATCTCAGCTCACTGCAAGCTCCGCCTCCCGGGTTTACACCATTCTCCTACCTCAGCCTCCCGAGTAGCTGGGACTACAGGCGCCCGCCACCTCGCCCGGCTAGGTTTTTGTATTTTTTTTAGTAGAGACGGGGTTTCACCGTGTTAGCCAGGATGGTCTCGATCTCCTGACCTTGTGATCCGCCCGTCTAAATTATGATAAAAGGGCATCATTCTGGAGCATCGATTTTATTTGGAGGTAGACAGGAGAGGGAAAAACAACCCTAATATCCGATAAACAACATAAATAGATTTTTATGTTAAAATAGTTATATTTATTATGGGCTAGAATGCAAATCCAACATGCCTTTTAAAGCAAGAAAGAATATTTCTTTTTTTATATATACAAAGTCAAAGGTATTATTTTTATACACTTATTACAAAACATATAAATAGTATACCAAGCCTAAGAATATAAAGAGTAGAGTCTAGCTTTAATTAATTGAATGTAAATTTAAAAACAAGTATCTAATAAGTAGGTCTTTTCACACATCGGAAAGCCCATTTCGGTATTTTTAAAAAAACTCAAATTACAAAGTAACAGATATCTAGGGTCTTAGCAACTTTAAGATCAGTACTAATGATTAAGCCAGCTTATATGCTAATATGATGAATGAAAAAGCCTGTATTTTACAAATAGCAAACCACTAAAACTTCAACTTTGCACAGAAGCCATTGTTTTACACCAATAATTATGTTAAAGATCAAGTCAGGCTAAAAGTTTTTTTTTTTTTTTTTTTTGAGACGGAGTCTCGCTCTGTCGCCCAGGCTGGAGTGCAGTAGCGCGATCTCACCTCGCTGCAAGCTCCGCCTCCCGAGTTCAGGCCATTCTCCTGCCTCAGCCTCCCAAGTACCTGGGACTACAGACGCCTGGAACAACGCCCGGCTAATTTTTTGTATTTTTAGTAGAGACGGGATTTCACCGTGTTAGCCAGGATGGTCTCGATCTCCTGACCTCGTGATCCGCCAGCCTTGGCCTCCCAAAGTGCTGGGATTACAGGCGTGAGCCACCGCGCCTGGCCCCAGGCTAAAAGTTTTTAATGAGTATTGAATCCATGAAAACTTGGCAAATTTCTCCACGAAGGTAGAATTTTAATTTCTGTTTAAACAATGGATAGATGGTACACTCTTGTGAGGGTGTACTGTAAGTACTTCTAAGGAGCTTTATTAGACTGATCCTAAATTATGTACCTAGTAAAAGATGTACCAATGTCTACTTTGGAATAAGAAATTATTCCTTTTTTGAGCAAGGATTAAGCAGAAACTGAAAGTGTAGTTTATAGCCTCTTACATAAAGTAGATGGGCACCCCTCACAAACCAACCAATATCCTGGCTTCTTAAATATCAACATTAATCTAAGTAATGTATAGCATGCTCCTGTCCAATCGTTCGCGCTAATTTGTAGTCTTCTCAGATCGATGCTTCATTTTAGTCACACATTTCTATCCTGCAAGACTGGGTACCTGGGTTTTTTGTCTGGTTTTATAACACTAGGCAGGTTTGGCCTTACTCAAAATGTAAGACTGCAAAAGGCCTATGTTTTACCTCAACGATACCGCTTCAGGAAATGGTCTGTATTTCCAGCAGAAAAGTGGTATCTAACTCTCATGATGGTTTCTAGCAACTGGATAGATACCTGGGTCTTTGCGGCCTGTGATGCAGCCTAACAATAGAGCACCTTGTGTGGTCAGCTAGGTCTGCTAAATCAACGGGACATCCATGTTCCAGATTTATTTTTTATTTTTATGTTTGTTTGTTTGTTTGTTTGTTTTTGAGACGGAGTCTCGCTCTCTTTTCCGTACAAGGGGTGGCCTCTGCCAAGTTAACTGCTTTGTAGGGTGGGAAGAAGATTGCCTTTCCTTTGATCTGCATGTTTTAAGGGAAATGCCACATACACCTACAGGAGCTTATCTTTTTTTTTTTTTTTTTTTTTTTTTTGACACGGAGTCTCGCTCTGTCGCCCAGGCTGGAGTGCAGTGGCGCGATCTCGGCTCACTGCAAGCTCCGCCTCCCAGGTTCACGCCATTCTCCTGCCTCAGCCTCCCGAGTAGCTGGGACTACAGGCGCCCGCCACCACGCCCGGCTAGTTTTGTTTTGCATTTTTTAGTAGAGACGGGGTTTCACCGTGTTAGCCAGGATGGCCTCGATCTCCTGACCTCGTGATCCGACCGCCTCGGCCTCCCAAAGTGCTGGGATTACAGGCGTGAGCCACCGCGCCCGGCCAGGAGCTTATCAATAATAGACAAGGCTCACTTTCAAACTCTTTCAGGAGATAAACTGGAGGGGAAGACGAACGGCAGGAGGGTGAAGAGGAAGCTGAATGACCGTGCAAACACCCCCAACTCAAATCCGGGTGGTTACCGCAGAGTGAATAACGATAGGTACGAGTTCGTGGAAGGCAACGTCCTTTGAAAGGGCTCCCAGAGCTTCAAGGCCCCCTCCCCTGATGAACGAGTAAGTCAGGCAGGCCCAGCTCCACTTCACGGATGGCAAAACTGAGGTACGAGGCGGCGAGATGACTGGCCCGAGGCCTCCCTGAAAGATCGGAGGCGGAGCGGAGAACCGGAGGCGGAGCGGAGAACCAGAAGCACCGCTTCCCCCAGGCTGATGCTCTAATCTCGGCTCCCTCCGCCCCTATGATGGCGTAGACGGCCTCCGCCCCCCGACTCACACACACACCCTCCCCCGGGAACGGCAAGTCTCCTCGGGTTCCAAGGACTGGGTCAAAAGACAAGAGGCCCCAGGCGCTCCCGCGGTGATTTGCGCAGAGCGTTGGGAGCGTGCGCGCCTCCAGTCCAACATGGCGGCGGCAGCGGCCGGCCGCCCGCCCCAAACCTCCTTCGGGGCCGGAGGCTTCTCCTCAGGGTCCTCGGGTAGGTGGGAAGACACAGCAGCCTCGCCAGGCCTTTCTTGTAGCTGCCGCTGCTCATTGAAGGAGTCACCTACCGGACAAGACTAACGGCTGCGGCTGCGGCGCGGAGGCCCCACAGCCCGCCGAGAACCAGGAATACGAGAGCCAGGCGGCGCCGCGGCCGGAGCTGTACTGAGCAAGAAAGAAGATTTCAAAGTAATTTATTGTTATGAGATCCGTGCTTTTATCTTATCTCAGACTCCCAATGATAGGCACATACTCTCCTCTGTACATTTAATGAAACTACTAAAATATTCCGATTTAAATCTTCCACCTATTTGTTTTCTGTGTATCCTACCTGTTCACGACCTTGACATTTTCAAAGAATACATTTTGGTTTTGGTGATGGTGAGTTTTGGGGGGTTTTGTTTTTTGGTTTTATTTTTGGAGACAGAGCTTTGCTCTATCGCCCAGGCTGGAATACAATGGCGCGATGATAGCTCACTGCAGCCTCGAACTCCTGAGCTCAAGGGACCCTCTTGCTTCAGCCTCCTGAGTAGCTGGGACTACAGGCCTGCGCCATCACGCCTGGCTAATTTTTTATTTTTTGTAGAGATGGGGTGTTGCTATGTTGCCCAAACTCTTGGGCTCAAGAGATCCTCCCACTTCTGCTGCCCCTAGTGCTAGGAGTACAGGCACGAGCCACCGCGCTGGGACAGTTATTTTGTAGAGTGTTCTTTAATTTGGATGTACCTCATCTTTTATACATCTTTGGAAGGAATACCACATAATTAATGCGGTTTATCCCATCAAGAGAGACACAGTGTCAATGTGTTCCATTCTTGGTGATGTTAACTTTTATTACTTAGTGAAAATAATTCTAAGAGTTTTCACCACTGTAGAGTGAATAAATGAATATGTGAGATTCATCAATGAATAAGTAAAAAGAAGCCAGCTGGCGAAAGAACTGAGTTGGGAGGATGACTTGAGCCTGGGAGGTCGAGGCTGCAGTGAGCTGTGATGGCACCACTGCACTCTAGTCTGGGTGACACCACAAGACCCTGTCTCAAAAAAAATTAAATAAATAAATAAATACCCAGCACTTGATCATCTCGGGAATTTCCTGTGCCTCTTTCTTCTGTTGGGTCACTGGTTTCTTGGAGCTTATGTCTTTTTTTTTTTTTTTTTTTTTTTTCTTGGTTTAGCGTCTCAGTTTTGTAAAAAACACATTCTTATTTTGTTTACCGCTTTGATAAACGTGAATTTGGGATAAAACTTTGGGATCCTTATACGCTTGACAGTG